AATGATCTCCCTTTTTACTTGTGTTTATTAATTGTCTCCCGTGCAGTAAGATCAACAGCCCCTCAACACACTCAAGAGAAGACTTGACAGCGTCTATAAGTGACTGTAAATGTGAAGTAAAGTTTACTTTTCAAACTTGACGGTCTATAGGGCAAGAGAAGTTGAGTTCACCTGTTTCTGTACTATGACCAGCCGCCTTTAACTTTCCCTAACTTGAGTTAGGTACCCATCAGAGCTGGGTGGACTCAGGGACGGTCTACCGACTTGAACTCGAGACTTAAGGGTTAGCAGTCCATCTCTCTACCGCTAGACCACTCCGTCCCACGAGTGACTGTATTTTATCATAAATCAAAGTTAAACATTTTGATGCCAGTTTAAAACGGCATGGTCAGGTGATAGAGCTCATGGTTGCTAACCCGAAATTCCCGAGCTCGAACTCTCGTTCAGATGAGGTTCGTTAGCTCGATACAGAAACTTATCCATAACTCGACATATCATTCCGGTTGCTCGTAATAATAACAAATAATAACAAATCCTTAACACAAAAGTCAAACCGAAGTTGCGCTCCTTTTCGACAGCTTCTACAATTTAAGTTGGTACCAACCGTGTTGCTTAGTTGTTGTTTTTTTTTGGACTATTCCGTAAAATGTAGAGAAAGGGATCATCCTTTGGACAATACCGAAAAATGTATAGAGAGATATTATTGTGCAAGAGCAATCCATGATATCTTTACTTAATGTTTTAGTACGCGCTACAAGAATTCAACTTCCCCTGTGAATTTATTGTCTCTCATTGCAAAATGAAGACATATATACATCAGTCTGATGATATGTAATACACGTATATAATATAACTAATACAACGTTGTGATTGAATATTAAAAACGGGTATATGTTTTTGTGAAAAGTTTCGCCCGTGAAATAAATATTGCTAAGTGGACAATTTTCTTGAGCTGTTTTCCTTAAAGCGCATGCGTCGCTGAGTTCTTTTGTTGACCTTAATAAGCATGGACCTATGCGTGGGCTGTAAGGGGAGAGAACTTTCACTGAGAGTAAGGGAGATAATTGCTCTTGATTATCTAGACCTAGTTTGTAATTATGAGGCATTGGGGTTGTAATTTTGTTGTTTTTATGATCGATCTGATTGATTTTTTTTTCTTGTTGCTGTTGTCGTGTTGTGTTTGAAGTTGCCGTCGCGGGTGTGGTAAGTTTGTGTTTTGGATGGAGTTGTCGATCTTTTCACGACACTGTGTGAGTGACCTAGATAGGGGAGAGGGGGGGGGTACAGCTCGTGCGGGTGTTGGGTGTGTGGGTTGTGTGGGGGGGGGGGGAGGAGGGGGGAGGAGGGGGGAGCATATCACGTGATCACGTGGTGTTGTTTTGACACAGATAAACATGTGCAAAACGTGACCAAGGGGTGGGGGAGGGGGGGGGGTGGAAGGTGGGGGTGGTCGTGTGGCAGAGTTGATATTGATTTAAACACTGCTGTAGTCGGTTCAAATACATGACCAAAAACTAGTGGCTAAAGAGATAGTTTGATAAGCGGTAAAATAAAAAGTTGAAACTTCATATGCTATATATATATATATATATATATATATATATATATATATATATATATATATATATATATATATATATATATATATATATATAACGTCTGTAAACAAATGAGGATGTATAATATCTGTCTTTGTATTTTAGCAATATGGCCTGACTAAAGTAAAGTTGACTTTTACCCCTCCCCCATCGTCACACCTTGTCACAAAATCCAGACTCATACAGCCAGTAACAAGACGTCACAATTCTCTTAACGCCAACCACCCCCTGCCCCCTCTGTTTTTTTTTTCGCCAAACCCAATCTTGATTTTTGAAGAAAAAAAAACATTGTTTTACATTTAAAATTTTTTAAACTACATAAAATGTTATTTTTCTGTACAAGGCTAAGTAAGTGTGAATGGTTATCCTACATTAGGAAACTGGTCAACGTAATAAAAACAAAACAAATTTCATGTTAGTTATCTCATTACCCCCTTTTTCTCTACCTATCCTTCCCAATTCCACCCCCCCCCACCCATCTTCTCCCCCCCCCCCCCCCCCTCTCGGTTGGCCTCTCGGTATAATTTACATAAGACTCTACAAAACACGGACCGACCAGGGGACTCTACTCTGTTATTGTTCTACAACAACCTGCCCCGACAAGGGAAAGAACCACTTTCCCCTTTGACAACACTTCCCGCCGTCATTAAGTCCCCTGAAAGCCTATGATTGGGGTGTTATTTGTATTGGATGTGCGTTTGATGACCTCACGGAGGAGGCGGGCGCGGGTTTAAGTGCTCACGTTACAAGGGGGAACATTGGTCATTCCTGTGGAATTACCTCAAGATGGCGCTAATTATATCTGGAAACTATTAATCACTGCGATAAAAGAACTGGTGATTAATTATAGTTCTATAGCGGGTGATTTCGACCTAAAATAAAACAAGATTTATAAAACAAGACTTTTTCTACAATGGATTCGCTGTTTCTATTTATTAAACTCCAACGTGTAATTTTAAGACTTTAACTTCTACATTTGTTTTTTATAAGTTTGAAAAAGTAGAATTTTAGTTGCTCTAGTACAGGGGTCTCCAAACGTTTCAGTCCGAGGGCCGCACTAACTATCAAATTTCAGTTCGGGGGCCAGTTTCTTCCAGGCATGTCTTTCATTTTTCTTAGCGAAGTTCCTCAGCCATCACCAGCAAACGGTTTTTCCTTTGACTAAAAGATCTCCGTGGGCCGCATGAGAGGACTTCGCGGGCCGTTCCGGCCGGCGGGCCGTATTTTGGAGACCCCTGCTCTAGTACATTAATTGAAATCTTAAAATACAAATATTTTTCATTATAGTTATTTCAAATGAATTTTAGCCTGTTGATCTTTCAGTATTTAAAAATATTTAATTTCTTTTTTTTTTTGAAAATTAATGGTAGATGAAAGTATTTAATACCATACAGTAATAAAGTAATGTGCACAAATATGCATTAAGAAAATGATAATGTGTTGGACCCCTAAACTTAAAGATGTGACATAAAAAATGCAACTTCAGTGCTAGAGGTCCCTGAGTGATACAGAATCATTGATGTTTTTCTCTGGAGGTGGGGGTCGCACTTGGTGTTTTTCTCCTGGGTGGTGGGACTCGCATTTGGTGTTTTTCTCTAAGGGAGGGGGGGGGGCTCGTACTTAAAATTTCGTGTGGGGGTAGAGGGATGAGAAGAAGGACACTGGTTAAGGTATGTATTTTCTATACTATACAAATAATTTTCTTTTCTATTTCGTGCCTCCCCCCCCCCCCCCCGCCTGAAAGAAACACTACTAGGATCTCATTAGCTGTAGCTTATCTCCGCTTGAAGCAACAAAACTAATGGGTCAAGGGTCATCATAGAAAAAACCTGAACTTAATACTTAAATCTTGACGCTCTAACACCCGACCAGACTGCCACCTTCTTTTTTAATTTCATCAATTAGTCTAGTCAGGGGCAATAACCTTTTCTCAAGAAAAAAAAATGTATTCTATAAATAGATCGTATGCGATAACAAGGTTGTCGCCCCTGGATTTTTAGTGTTTTCTCGTTTAACGTCGTTTTTAATACGACGTAAAACGGGTAATGTGTTATAACAAGACAATATGTTATAAAAATCGGAACCTGTAAAATGTTAGAGAACTCTTGTTTTTTTTAACAACAATATTACCTGTAAACTTTACTTTCTCATTAGTTTTATGGTTTCATGTGCATACATGTCCCTAATTATAATCGCTGCTGGTGACCTTTGTCAATTAATTATGCTAATTAAATTCGATGAAGTGAATAGGCCATGATTGTTTCCATCCACAAATCATTAATTGAAATAAATGAAGTTTGATGTTGAGGCTAAATTTGTGAGAGGTTAATTAAAATTGTGTTGCTTGTTTGATGCTTTCAATATGTATGTGGGTCTTTCAATGTGTTGGTCTTTCAATGTGTTGGTCTTTCAATGTGTTGGTCTTTCAATGTGTTTGTCTTTCAATGTGTTGGTCTTTCAATGTGTTGGTCTTTCAATGTGTTGGTCTTTCAATGTGTTGGTCTTTCAATGTGTTGGTCTTTCATGGTGTTGGTCTTTCAATGTGTTGGTCTTTCAATGTGTTGGTCTTTCAATGTGTTGGTCTTTCAATGTGTTTGATGTGTAGTTCTATTAATATGTTTGTTGGTGTGTAGGTCTGTCAATGTGTAGGTCTGTCAATGTGTAGGTCTGTCAATGTGTAGGTCTGTCAATGTGTAGGTCTGTCAATGTGTAGGTCTGTCAATGTGTATGTTAGTGTGTAGGTATATAGTGGGAAAGAACGAAGGGTTTATGAACTCGGACTGATCATAATTGATTTTTTTCAAGTAATCATTAATAAACAATAAAACATCGTTTAATCAATTAATTAATTAACAAAATGTTTACTAGTGGCCAAGACAGTTTTATGTCTACTGGTCTATTTTGTGATTGCTGACAGCGCTAGTTCAGTGTAGCAATTGCCCTTTCAGACCTAAGACTTTGATGGAGGAGAGTTCACATGCATTTTTTAAACTCGGCATATGAAAGAATGAGGAGACCAACTCAATGCCCAGCCGCTTTATACTTTCCCTGTGTCCGGTACCCATCACAACTGGGTGGACTCATGGACGTTAATAATAATAATCACGAATATTGACCGAGTTCCGAAAATAGACATTCAGACTAGCAGTCGAGTGGTCTAACACTCGACCACGCTGTGTCAAGGCTTAGAGAAAGGGTTACTGCATTTTCTAGAGTTTTCAGGAAACATAAACTAGGCCTTTGCTGAGGGATTCGGCCATTTCAGAAGTTTCTAGATTCCGGCCTTCGTCTTCGTACTTAATTCTTTTATTGCAGAGGATTTATTCCAACACAATTAAGTATTACGTGCCATATTGTTATGCTTGACCCCTTTTAACCTAAATATTCTATTTTTATCCCCAGCTCCTGAAGAGATGATGACGTAATATGGACGCTGCCCGAGGGTGATCCTGTCGGGAACCACCCCTCACACAGCTGCCACGGCGGTGATACCAGCCCACTAAACTGCAATAACTACAACATATTTTAACACAACTCGATTGGAAGTTTTATTTTTGTTACTTACCTCCCTTGTGTTTTTGTCATTCTTTCATTAATTTCAAATTTTGAAAAATAAGATCGAAAGATGTATTGAAATCTGAATTAGGTGAATTCTTATTAAATTTTTTATACGAGAGTTAATCAAGAAAACATTTAACAAATGTTAGTGGTTATATTAAGTTCAACATTTTGAACAATCTTTAATAAACGAAGGTTATTAGTTGGTGTGTACTTAATACTTTTACCCAAATCATGGAATGTAGGGTCCTTTGTTGTTATAATTTTAGTTTTAGTAAAATCGTTACGGGCCTGTGGTTAACTATTTTTATTGTAAGTGGTTTATGAAATAATAAAATTTATTTACACAAAAAATAAAAAATAAAAATTCCGTTTCAAATTAATCCTAATTATAGCTGCGATTCTTTTAATTGTTAAAGTATTTAAAAAATTAATTATCATTTAAGTGTTTCCAAATTTTTACATTTTTTTCGATAACAAAATACATTTTTTTGTTTTCTTTCATTTTTAATTTTGACATTTGATTTGATCAAGTTGTGTTAGTTGTTTCAACTGGTTTGTTCAAAATATTTTTTCTGGATTTTGGGCAAATTTTGTCTCAAACACTACAATTACTATTAAAACATGTTGTCTGAAGTGATATTCTTGTGTTTGTTTTCTTTTTCCGTTTAGTTTAGCAATGTTCATGTATTCTGAATAGTGTTGGCGACGGTGTCAAAAATGTTTCTCGCAATTAATTAAAGATTTTAAAAAATGCATTTAAAAGTTTTAATAACAAGCTTTTTAAAAAGAAAATTAATACAATAGAGTTGCGTTACTAAAAACAATGGCATACTAAATGAACACGAAAAATGTGCGTATACTAGCAAGGTAAAAAGTCTTTAGATAGAAAATTTTAATTAATTCTTTAAAAATTAATTAAGCATCCAGTTAAGTATTTGATGTCGGACTGCATTGTCATGGGGTCTTGACCCACGTGCAAAGTTTCATAAAAATTGGTTAGTTAATAATGGTCAAAATTTAGCTCATCCGTTTCGACCCATGATGAGGAAGCAAGGTAAATGAATGTAAATAAAGTAAAAGCCACACACGTTTTTCATCCAATCATCTTAAGAACAATGATTTGTTTTAGATCCGCCTCTTTTCAAATATGCTATAGGATACTTAACAAAAGCAGTCCGCAACCCGTAAAGAGTTAAAATTATGGGATGGAACTAGCTTGAACCCTTCAAGACGGCTGGGCAAAGTGCTGACGACACCTTCCCTTCATGTTCCGAGGTCAAGAAACATATGAAGTCTACTTCTCTGCCTAATTGATCACTATGTCTAAATAGGATTCTTCCTTTATTTTTTTTTGCACACTCATCCATGTAAAAAGGGTCATTACGTACCTTGATGTAGGTAATTTAGAGTCTACCTGGTATTGTGAAAATCTAGTTACAAATAGGATGTACTAAAATGTACTTTAGAACAAAGTGTGTATGAATCTAGGTGGAGTAGATTATACCTGGTATTCCTTGAATCTAGTTACAAATCAGATGTACTAAAATCGACTTTAGAACCAGGTGTATATAGATGTATGTGGAGTAGAGTTTACCTAAAGCACTAGTCTTTCTAGAATCTAGTTTTAAAGCCAGGTGTAACAAAATGTAGGTGAAGTAGAGTCTAACTTTAGTAATGGAATCACACTTAAAGACAGGTGTGTCTTCATATACGGGACGTGATGTATTCCAGGTTTACTGCGTTTATTTACCACAAAAGCAGGTTTGTACGATTCCACTTTCAAACCAGGTGTATTAAAGGTTTCCTTAGTAACAGGTGTAGCATCTTCCTCAAGGCATAGGAAGGTTGTATGTATATGAGGACCAAAATTGTTTTACGATATACAATGATTATCTTTCCGGAACATTTTCTCAAAAAACTTCTATTCCAAAGAATTTGATTAAGAAAACGTGCCTTAAAGGAATGGCAAAAAAAAAAAATTATCTGAAAATGTTGGCCCTCGATTTTTCTCAAAAAGTTGGTCCTGGATTCATCTCAAAAAGTTGAGTACAGAAATTTGACTCCGCTCAAACTATAGAAAAAGTCATTAACGGCTTTAGCAATCGCAATTGGAAGAAAACAAAGAAATGCAAAGTTAAAAAAGCTTTGGAAGTTTACGAGATTGTAAAAATGCTTTGTGTTGTTAACGTGATTCTCAAGCAATTTGAGAAGAGTTTAAAGTCAGCGGCTGAGTCAAAGTCTGGATTCGATCTCTGATCACTCACGTTAGCGGCCGAGCGCTTTTCAGCTCTGCCACTACACCACTGACATAACACAATTCATCTGTTTTTATATTTCCCTGTTAATTGTCTATTAGGATTAAAAAGGAAGTTGAAGAAAAAAAAAAGAAAGAAAGAAAAAGAAAGAAAGAAAGAAAGAAAGAAAGAAAGAAAGAAAAGAAAGAAAGAAAGAAAAGAAAGAAAGAAAGAAAGAAAGAAAGAAAGAAGAAAGAAAGAAAGAAAGAAAGAAAGAAAGAAAGAAAGAAAGAAAGAAAGAAAGAAAGAAAGAAAGAAAGAAAGAAAGAAAGAAAGAAAGAAAGAAAGAAAGAAAGAAAGAAAGAAAGAAAGAAAGAAAGAAAGAAAGAAAGAAAGAAAGAAAGAAACATTTTTAAAACATCAAGAGGGGTGTTGTTATGGGGGGGGGGGGGGGGGGGTCCTTGAGGGTTGAAGTTAAGTTTGAAGATTAGGGTAAAGTCAAATTTATGTTAAGTGAATGTCAATATCAATGCCAATGACAATGCCAATGTATAGTTTTTAGGTTTAGGTTTAGTTTAGGTTAAGGTTTAGGTTTAGGTTTAGATTTGGTTTGGGTTTAGGTTAAGGTTTAGATTAGGTTTAGGTTCAAGTTCAGGTTCCAAGTGTTATTGATAAAGATCTTGAGAATCTCTGACACGTAGATGGATCTGGGCTGTGTGACTCACCATCCCCCCCCCCCCCACACACACAGACTGCTATACATTATGCAGTTTTAAGCATCCACATCATTTAAGCCATCTATATACTACTAAAAGTCAAGTTTGTTTACATGTTTGAATATTTATTTGTTTGTTTGCCTGATTGACTATTGTGATATGTTCGACTCTACCGGGACAGCTGTAAAATAGTATGTAGGTAGAGAATAATTTTTTAATGCAGACAGACTGTTAATCACAAATTTATTTAAAGACGTTAATTAATTTATTGATTTATTCATTGTTAAATTAACCGTATTTTTTTTAAAAATGTTAATACTTTGAATAAACTTTTGTGGGGATAGTGACGTCCCTTGATAGTGACGTCAGAGTTTTTTGTTGACTCTTTAGTACAATAAAATGGCGGCGTCTATCGAAGAAAATTGTGTTCCCATTCCAAAGTTTAACGCGTTCTAAATCTAATTTTCTGTCGGTCATAACTTTAACAATACGTCCGTTTGCTGTATTTATTACGTTCCAACACTTATATCAATTTTCAACTGTCTTTTTTCATTTAGTTTTACAATAAATTTCTCTAGATCTAAAGATCAGCTGTCGAAGGAAATTTATGAATCTAGCCTAGATCTAGATCACTAAACTCAATGTAAATTCTAAATCTAGACTTAATGTAAATTCTACATCTAGAATCTATTTCAGGCCTTAATACATCTAGAATCTATTTCAGGCCTTAATTATTTTTTATATAAATCTTTGTTTGGCTAATTTAAGATAAAATTTAATTTGAAAGTTACTACTTCTAGACTAGACGCTCGAAATCAAGTTGCATCAAAGTATAGTATAAAAATTCATTTGTGACGTCAGGAGTAAATAGCTAAGTTTGTAGGCGTAGTCCGCTCTCATGCGAGTGGTACAGGTTCTAGACCAATATGTCAATGATATTTTTTTTCAATTTTTTTTTTTTTAGATGTTAATGATAAAAAATGATTTTTTTTTTTCAATTTTTTTTTTTTAGATGTTAATGATAAAGTTGCCTATCTGAACTTGGCAGGATACAGGGCAGGTTGAAGTAGAGTTCATCTGTTTCTTTGTCCTAACCATATGAAAGGATAGTGTGGTCAGAGACATGCTCGGCTGGAATCGTTTTTTAAACGATAAAAACATGTTGTCTGAGACTTGGCGGGACACTGGGCAGGTGAAGTAGAGTTGAGTAGGTCACATGTGACGTCAGTATATGAAAGGGATAGTCCGAAATCGGTGTTTTTCGGATGTTTTTAAAAAGATAAGAAACATATTTTTGAATGTGGGCTCTGTTTTTGTGACGATAAGTGACACTGCAGTAGCGTAGCGAGGAGGGGGGGGGGGGGGGGGGCGGCGGGGGGGGGGAGGGCGGGGGGGGGGGGGGGGAAGGGGAGGCGGGGGGGGGGGAAGGGGAGGCGGGGGGGGGGGGGAGTGAAGTGAGGGGGGGGGGGGGCGGGGGGGACGTATGTTGGGGCGCCAAAATGGTTTGGAAAAATAAATTGAAAGGTTGAGGGGGGTTCAAATCGAAAGTTTGAGTGGGGGGGGGGGGGGGGGGAGGGGGGTGCACATCAAAAGTTTGAGGGGGGGGGGGGGGGGGGGGGTTGAAAATCGAAATCTTGGGGGGGGGGGGGGTTAAAATCGAAAAGTTTGTCCCCCGGGCGCCGGGAAGGCTCGCTATGGCCTCTGAGTGACAGACGTGATGTTTTTTGATGGATGACCCCCCGAAAACCCACAGTTATCCAAGGGATGACGGGTATTCTAGTAGATCCTTAAAGTTACAAGCTATACTAAGCATCTACGTTAACTCAAATTTTTCAACACCATGATTCTACTACCCCCTCCCCTAGCTATAATAATCTTAGTCTGTTATTATTAGCCCATATCAGACACCCACGCCGACATGCTAATCACACAGTCTTTGCATGCTAACTGTTATAATCCCCTTCATTTTGTCACTTAATTTAGTGTTGTAGGATTACATTAGCAAAGAAATAGCCTGTGATTTATCATGGTCGTTTGTATAACACTAATTAAACTGTTAAAACAGATTTGCGATGGGTGGAGATTTCTATCTATCCCTTATGGGTATAGCTAACAAGAGTATGGTGTAATACAATCCTTAGTACGGACAGCACTCGATTAATCTAATCCCATTCTTAGTGTAGCTAGCAGTTTTCGAAATGAAAAGCCATAACACGTTCTGCCCCTTCGTTTTCCCTCCTACTAAAATCTTGTGAGATCATAAAATTGTACAATGATTCCAAAGGCTAAACACATTAGAATGAGAGCAAATTTGTTATGCAACAGTGCTTTCTATCTAGCACCCGTATAGCCTGTGATGATATGGTGACTAGAAGCTAATGGCCTAGGCCCTTGGCAGTAACTCTCAACTAGAGACCCATACAATAGATGTCAGCTAGAGACCCAGACCCAGAGAGTAGCTTTCAGATAGTGACCCAGAACATGGACAGTATATGTCATCAAGAAGCATTAGATATAAGAAAATGCCTTAACTTACAAAAGCAATTATAGAACTAGGTATTTTTAACAGTAAATTAAAATCTTGTTTGACGTGTCTAATCCGAAAATTAAAGTCGTTTGACCTTGTGAATGTGATATACATATCCACGGGGTTCAAAAGTTAATAAGATCGCCAGGTATATAGTTGTCATTTAAATATGTAATCTCGTGTAATTTAATTTACTTCCCAACTATTCAGTCACCATCTCCAGCTATATAGTCTCAAACTTCCAGTTCTAGTTTTCTACTCCCAGCTATACAGTCCCCATCTCCCTGATATAAAGTCCCCATATAGCAGCTATACCGTCTCCATCTCCCAGCTATGATCTCCATGTCCCATCTATACAGTCTCTATCTCCCAGTTACATAGTCTCCATATCCCAGTAATACCGTTTTTATATCACAGTTACACACGGAATTTCGCCACACAACTTAAGGGCTTATTCGGTGGGTGACTGAAATGTTATTCTAATAGGGTGGGTGGTGGCCACAACTTCCTCTACGGGTGACTAATTCTAATAGGTTATGATGTTCTTTTGTAACGCAATGTGATGTTGTGATTTGAGTGGTGGCTTATTTTCTCTGAGTGGGAGGATTTTAATTGGTACTGATTACTTTTGTACATTAAAAGTCAACACCACCCCCTGACACCACGTGGAATCACGTGATCACCACGTGGCATCATGTGATAGCTCAGTCACAGCTTAAAAACATTAGAATCGCATTTGAAGGTCAGCTTGATATCTTGGTTTTGAAAAGTTTTGATGCTTCTCATCTGAAGGTATGTCGCTTTAAGCTTTTATTGTTTACACTGGTTTCTTTGGGCGTATGTTGAATAAACGTACATTTTTAATGAGGTTTAGTTGAAGTTACTTACTCCACTTGCTCTCTCTCTCTCTCTCTCTCTCTCTCTCTCTCTCACACACACACACACACACTCACACACATGCATGCACACGTATTCACACTCACTTACAAACGACAAAAATATCATTATATCTTTGACAAATTAACTCAAACAAACGACATCACTGCAAATACCTACAGTATATTGCATACATATTTTGGAAGATATTAGTCGACTGATCATATTTATATTGATTCTAGCTGTATACCCGTGCTCCGCCACGGAAAATCTTTTTAAAATGTAACAACTTGGGAATAGAACAAAACAAAACAAAACAAAACACAAACACAAACACAACACAAACATAACACAAACATAACACAAACATAACACAAACATAACACAAACACAACACAAACACAACACAAACACAACACAAACATAACACGAACACGAACACGAACACAACACAAACACATCACTGTCTGCTTGACGTAACCTCAATGGTCGGCGTGGCTAGGGGCGAGGTCAGGGAGGGGAGGGGGAGGACGGACAGACCATTGCCAAAAACCGGACTCTAAATTTACAAAGCAATGTCGGTATAATCCCCACCGGCAGGTACTGGAAGCGTGAAGGGGGGGGGGGGGCTAACTTAAATAACAAAAGTTGCAGGGGATGGTGAAGCTTGGAAAGAGGAGAGAATGGGTGGAGACCCTCTTTTCACCCCTCCCTCACCCCCACGTTAACACACCGCCGTTTGAAATTTACAAAATAGAACTCTTTTCCCCCACCCCACCTCCTCGCTCACCGCAATCTAGGAAAATAAATGTAATCCTAAAAAACGTAATGTACCACCTTATGTACTAATGTTTTGATCTAACACACTGCTAAGTCCTATCCAACACTTCCTCTCCGCATCTTTCGTATAGCTTTGATACATACATTTTCATGTTTTACATAATCTAATGTTAAAAAAAAAATAAAGTCACAGAAAAAAGTCACACAAATCTTTTAATAAATATTTTGATTTAAATTGTTGATAATCGTAAAATTGTGGGTGTTTATTGATGTAGGTTGTAGTTTTTTGGTAGCATATTTATAAACGATAAATGCATTATGGTTTATAACACTTATAATTAAAAATACTGTAACCTAATTTAGAAAGCAACCACAACTTTTGTAATGAATTTAATTAAACGAGCCGACCCGCGGCGTATCATACGCTGCTATTTAGTTGTTTTATTTTCTACTTTTCAGTAATTCCTAATTTGTGAATTCGACAGTACCACTGCTGTCACTGAAAATATTTGCTTTAAAACACTATCAGTAAGTCGTTAAGGACGATAACCCCTCCCCCCCCCCTCATTTCCCCCCCCCCCTTCTCCTTGAAAGCAGCCCTCTCTTAGTTACCTCCCCTAAGTTTAATATCGTTTCAAACTAAATTATCTGCCCCTAATAGCCGTCACTAAACCCGGCTCTTCGATCGTAAACATTTAGCTTGAACCACAGCTCACCAGACTTCCTAGAGAGGAAGAGAGGGGACTGCAAGGCGCGCTTACAGCTTGTTTTCTAACGTCTCCATGAAGAGAATTATATATATAGATAGGCCTATAATTTACGTGAAACGGGTACCGATGGCTAGTAAAGTTATAATGCACTAAAAGGAGAAAAGATTTTCTTGAAATATTAGAAAACACAACTGTTTAAATAACCATAAAGAAAAGCTTGGGTCTTTTCCTAAATATTAGTAATGGTATTCACCAGATAATAAGGTGACCCACGCTTTTCTTTATAGAATATAAATAGTAGTGTTTTATTATATATTCAAAGACAGTTATTTATTTTCTCCTTTTAATGAATTATTACATAAATGCTCGTTATTAAAACGTTTTTATGCATTTTTTTCTACAATGTACATGCAGATCTGGTTATTCTTTTCGAATGTCTTTAAACTGCCGACCTTAAATAACAACCTCAACTGCGCACTTTTTTGTGTGTTATTTTTGGGTGCGCAATTTTCGATGCGTATTATTTTTTGGTCATCGTGAAATACAGCCGTTAATTTAGTCGTCAATGTAATTAATAATCAGTTGTTTTTTTTCATCTTTACAGATAATAGAGCTATAAAAAGCAAAATTTACTTCGTAAAGAAAATGTTTTTAGACTCCAAACAAGTTCTCAGTGTAACTGTTCTTCAGTTCTTCATCCTCTACGTCATCAAAGACTCTTCTCTGGCCTCCATGTCTCCAGAGGTACCACAGTCCCACGCCCATCCAAATGAGACTCTTTCACGGACACTAGGGAGTGGGAAAAGAGAAAGCAGTGGCTCATGCGACGGATGGAGAGCCTTTTCCTCTTGGGGCAAAAGGTCAATAGACTCTCAAATGGATAGGTCAAAAGACTCAGACGTTGAAAAAAAGTTGAAAGAAATGCCCGGATGGGGCAAAAGGTCAAAAGACTCAGACGATGAAAAAAAAGTTGAAAGAAATGCCCGGATGGGGCAAAAGGTCAAAAGACTCAGACGATGAAAAAAAGTTGAAAGAAATGCCCGGATGGGGCAAAAGGTCAAAAGACTCAGACGATGAAAAAAAGTTGAAAGAAATGCCCGGATGGGGCAAAAGGTCAAAAGACTCAGACGATGAAAAAAAGTTGAAAGAAATGCCCGGATGGGGCAAAAGGTCAAAAGACTCAGACGATGAAAAGAAGTTGAAAGAAATGCCCGGATGGGGCAAAAGGTCAAAAGACTCAGACGATGGAAATAAGTTGAAAGAAATGCCCGGATGGGGCAAAAGGTCAAAAGACTCGGACGATGAAAAAAAGTTGAATGAAATGCCCGGATGGGGCAAAAGGTCAAAAGACTCAGACGATGAAAAAAAGTTGAAAGAAATGCCCGGATGGGGCAAAAGGTCAAAAGACTCAGACGATGAAAAAAAGTTGAAAGAAATGCCCGGATGGGGCAAAAGGTCAAAAGACTCAGACGATGAAAAAAAGTTGAAAGAAATGCCCGGATGGGGCAAAAGGTCAAAAGACTCAGACGATGAAAAAAAGTTGAATGAAATGCCCGGATGGGGCAAAAGGTCAAAAGACTCAGACGATGAAAAAAAGTTGAAAGAAATGCCCGGATGGGGCAAAAGGTCAAAAGACTCAGACGATGAAAAAAAGTTGAAAGAAATGCCCGGATGGGGCAAAAGGTCAAAAGACTCAGACGATGAAAAAAAGTTGAAAGAAATGCCCGGATGGGGCAAAAGGTCAAAAGACTCAGACGATGAAAAAAAATTGAAAGAAATGCCCGGATGGGGCAAAAGGTCAAAAGACTCAGACGATGAAAAAAAGTTGAAAGAAATGCCCGGATGGGGCAAAAGGTCAAAAGACTCAGACGATGAAAAAAAGTTGAAAGAAATGCCCGGATGGGGCGAAAGGTCAAAAGACTCAGACGTTGAAAAAAAGTTGAAAGAAATGTCCGGATGGGGCAAACGTGAGAAAGAAGACCTCGAAAAAAGATGGAGGGAAACGGCCCCATGGGGAAAAAGGAACAACTCAAGCGCGTTTTCGAAAAACTACCAGCATTTAATAGACAAGTGGGAGAAGAGGCCAAGCAGGGATACAAGCTTTAGCAGCTGGGGAAAGCGATCAGAAACAGACGACCAGTTCGATGTTGAGGAATACCTGCTTTAAACAAAGTTAAACACAGGTACGTCGCAATACTTTCTCAAATTTTGATGTAAGCTTTTATGTAACGGTATTTCATTTCTAGAATTTGTCTCCAATTATCAATTTATCAATTTATTAACCCCAAATGTTCCCAGATAATTTTTCTAGACTATATATAGTGTTTAATTAATAATAATGTTTCTATCGATTTGTGTCTTGACCATTTGTCTTTATCTAACCTTATTTTATCTCAAAAATTTGTCTTGAACATTTGCTTTTATCTAACTCTATTTATCTCAAAAATGTGTCTTGAACATTTGCCTTTATCTAACCCTATTTATCTCAAAAATGAGTATTGGCCAATTTTCTTTATCTAACACTAGCCGTCCCGGCCAGGCCCTGCTCTGGCTTCTGTGAAAAACCTTTCTGTTAAAGACCATTACCTGTGTGTTTAGTAATCATCATAAACCCGGCATTGCCCACCCAAACCACAACCAACCAAAACAACAAAACGCAAACATAACGCTAACACAATTACAAATACAAACGAAAACAAAAACCTAACAACAAACCCAACCACAACCACAAACACCAATACAAACACAAAGAAAAAACAAACAAAAAAGCAAACGAAAACAAAAACCTAACAACAAACCCAAACACAAACACCAATACCAACACACAAAAAACAACGAAAAAGCAAACGAAAAAACAAACCAAATCCAAACGCAAAACCAACCAAAAACACAAATACAAACCCAAACAAAAAAACACAAACAAAAACGAAAAAAGAAAGAACAAAAACGAACCAAATCAAAACGCAACCACTAACGCAAACCCACCTAAACACAAAGAAAACACTAAAGCGAACATAAACGCCCGGGGCGGAATCACCTGTTTTAGCTTAATGAACGACTATAGTACCCCAACTTATTCATAGTCTTTTGCACTCACTTAAACGAACGCGCCTGTTTCAATTTAATGAACAATTTTAATACTCCAAGCTTATCCGTAAAATACCTACAACATTTGCACTTGATCAATCCCCGTTAATTATGTAATTATTTTTTTTCCCAACACCAAAACAAAGTAATTAAAAAGTAAATTCTTTTCCACAAATGCAATGGTTTTATAAAGGGAAGTAATTGTGTTTTCCTAATTTATCAAAGGGAAGTAAGTGCTATAGGACTAAATAAAGACATAATTAGAATTGTTGTAAAAGATGATATTTTTTTAAAACTTGTGTTTAGTGAACATGCCGACAATTATTACTATAATTTGAAAAATGAAAATTATTTCCCAACACTTTCAATAGTAATTTTTTAACTCATAAATTTAGACAAATGCGCACGATAATTGTCTAACACTTAAATCCATCCAAGACCAACGACAAACATATGCGTTACATACAGAACTGAGCTTTATATATTAGATTATATTATCTCACAAACGTGTCTTTACTACCTTTCTTGACCATTTGTCTTTATCTAATCCTATGTTATATTAAAGATTTGTCTTGAAAATTTGTCTTAATCTAACCCTATTTTATCTCAAATATTTGTCTTGACCATTTCCTTTATCTATTTTATCTCAAAATTGTGTCTTGAACGTTTGTCTTTATCTAACACTATTTTATATCAAAGATTTGTCTTGACCATTATTTTGTATTTGCCTTACGCTAAACTCTTTACTAAAAAAACACATTACAATTCCTTAGATTATAGACGTTTGTAGAATATTTCTATAAAACGTCTTTAGAATCGTGGGTCAAGCACTGACAAAGCCATCAGCTAATAACGCGTAGCAGACTGTCAATCATTAATTATGATAATTACTCTAAATCTTTGTCAACCTCTACAAATTAAAACTATTTAAATATAATCTAATACTTGTTTTCCTAAACATTCCGATATTAAATAGTTTTTAGAACTTATAACTCAATATTTTGAGACGAGAAACTATTCAATACGAATATAATTAAAGAATATTAAGGCGTATACGGGATGTTTGGAAATGTTGATAAAACTAGTCTTGAAAGTTTATTAAAACAACGTCATAAATTACAAGATTTACTGTAGAAATACTTGATATTTAATGGATAAATCAATTTTCAGAGCGTGAAGAGGATGAAGGTGGGGTATCGGGAATAGCGTAGTGAAGAAAATTCGGGTGTCTTTTTTGTATAGCTTTTCTTCCGAGAAATGGTTATCCAATGGGTAACAAGGTTATCTAGTGTATAAATAAAATTGCTAACTTTTAACCATTTATAACATTGAAATAGTTCTAGTATGATTCACGTATTTTAAACATGCCAAGAAGTTCGCAATGGTTTAAAAATGTTTAGACTGTGGTTTCGTTTTTGCTATTTCAAATTCTTATGTAAACAAGAAAACAGAAAATAGCTCAGTTGTTTTTTTAAGTATCAGGGATGTTCCATCTTTGTCGTATATTTAATGTCAAGGTCAAGCTTGTTTGGTAAAGGCTGCTGGGCAAAGTGCTCACCACACTATCACATCATATGCCGAGGTCACTTAAACAGGTGAACTCTACTTCATTTGACACGGGATTGAAAAAAGGACTTTACTACATTTTCAAGACTAATTTGTTTTATTTCATCTTCTGAACGGAGTTCTAATCCACCTCTCGCTAATTTCAGCGTCAGTGCTATGTAATGCTCCTGCTAAACGACTGCCTTCATCTGTTAAACGTACATTAAAAACCTTCAATTAAAGTAATAGTTTCAATGTGGCTGCTTTAAATTTGTTTTGTAGACATCATTGATACACTGGCTGTCACATAATAGGGTCGCATATCCCAGCTGTAATCAAAACACCTAACTCCGCACAAGTATTACTTTCCTCATAGAAATAGTTTATAAAATGACGTCTTATTCTTTGGAAACAAAGATTTTTACGATTTATTTAGGGGAGGTAACTCGCACAGAGCATAAGTGTAGCAAGGGAATAAACTCGTGGGAATATCTCACGTTACCGTGATGATTAAGAATGTGATCATTTAAGGACGCACATCCTCAACGATAGCGTTTAAATCGTGTATTATTTTTCATTGCAATGTCGTCTTACTCACCCCCCTCCCTTCTACGAAATCTGCTTAGGTCTAGACGTCATGATAGGGACCCCATGTCAGAGACCCCACAATAGAGACCCCCATGTCAAAGACCCTATAATAGGGACTCCATTTCACAGACCCCATTATAGTGACCCCCTATTACAAACCCTAACTTTAGGTTTCTGCAATTAAATCTGCTGCATTGAAAAACGTTCAAACCAAACAAAACAACTATTCCCTGATTCGCTATTTAAAAAGTTTAATTGAAAAACACGTTTTAAAAATTCTCCATAAAAAAACATCGTGATTAATTAGTTTATGGCGGTGTAGTCAGTGGCGGAACTAGAAAAAAAAAGGCTCCCCCGCAATTTTTTTTTTAAATAGCCTATTACCTGAGTATTTTAATCTATTTCATTGCAATGTATAACCACTCTGAGATAACGAACCAGACAAAAATAAGTCCGAACTCATTTCGGGCCAGCAATAATCGTGTTTTATAAATGTTGGTATTTTTTTTAGCATAGATACGTTTTATTGTTTAAAAAAAAAAGGAGAAATACATATATTTTTATCATTTCCGTTTCTTTTATAATATAATAGAGCACATATTTTGAAAAATCTGATACAGGATTTGAATCAAGAACAATACATATAAGTCAGCATTCACTTTCAAATAACTTCTAAACAACTATTTTATAAAGTCACTTAGAAATATTACACATTTTTAGGCCATCACAAATGACAATTTACACATTTAGAAAAGTGGTCATCACAATTTGTAAAAATCTCATTTTTTTCACGATTACAAGTCTTTGTCTATTCTTCGTATATGCGAGAAAGTAAAAAAAAAAGCTAGCTGGTCAAAATTATATAATCAAGTAAGCTTGATTTGTGCAATGGTTTCTCGCGTTATGTTTATTTTTATAATTTTTTGTATTTCTATTATTAGTTTTGAATATATTCATTTTTATAGCTATAAGTTTTAGTATACCTTATTTAAATAATAATTAAGAGAATTAATTGCTTTTTAATTTACATGGTACAAAACTATTTAAATGAGCTTTATGAGCACCCGTGTTTTAATCAAGGGCAGTAAGTCATGGAAGTATTCTGAAAGTTTGCCTATCTTTCAAAGTACAGCTCTTGAAGATTTGATATTTTTCTACGCAACAGTGTGTTAGTTACTGTAGAACAATCACTGATATAGTAGACCTGTTTGTTTTTTACAAAACCACTATCAAGGTGCACGAAAAACATTATTTATGAAAAGAAAATTCATTGTTTTTTTGGTCGGAATTGGGCCCCTAAACGTCGTGCCCCCCCTCCCATGCGGCACTGTAGTTCCGCCCCTGGGTGTAATTCATGTTTTAAAACCTCTCCTTCAAACAACATCACTCACACGATATTAATTGACAGTTATTGTCGAAAAGGGAGTTAATTCCCAACACTAATGATCTCCCTTTTTCCTTGTGTTTATTAATTGTCTCCCGTGCAGTAAGATCAACTCTCCCAACACCCTCAAGAGAAGACTTGATATAGGTCTTTGAGTTACTGTAAAAGTAAAGTTCCCTTTTCAAACCGGACGGTCTATAGGGCATGTGAAGTAGAGTTCACTCGTTTCTGTGAACTCGGCATATGAAGAGATAGTGTGGTCAGCACTATGACCAGCCGCCTTTACTTTCCGTAGCTTGTGTTAGGTACCGATCAAATTTGCGTGGATTTACGGACGGTCTACCGACTTGAATTCGAGACTTAAGGGTTAGCAGTCCAGCTCTCTACCGCTAGACCACTCCGTCCCATTAGTGGCTGTATTATGCCATAAAATAAAGTTAAATATCTTGTCGTTTTCCTCGTGTGTGGGGTGAGGGACGGGAGGACGGACACTAGTTAAACTTTGTATTTTCTATATAAATTATAACAGTGAAATGTTGGTGGATTGTATCTTGGGAGTGTGTTTTGTTGAGAGGGGAGACAGTGGCTGTACGCATGCGCGAGAAGGACAAGTGAGAAAGGAGGCAAGAAGATAACGTAGCTTGGCTGAACATGCGGCCTGTGTGAAAACGAAATAAATATGAAAAACTGTAAAAGAAGGCTTGTCTTTTGATTTCGTATGTGTAATATAAAAGGTAGGAGAAAGGCCTGTGACATAAATCATCTATTTTGTTTTCTATTTTGTGTCTCCTCCTATCCCGTTGAGAGTGGCCACTTCGACTTCGCACTTAATTCTTATATCGCAGTGGATTTCTTCCAACAGAATTAAGTAGTACGTGACCCCTTTTAACCTAAACATTCTATTTTTATCCCCAGCTCCTGAAGAAATGATGACGTAATATGGACGCTGCCCGAGGGTGATCCTGTCAGGAACCACCCCTCACAGCTGCCACGGCGGTGATACCAGCCCACTAAACTGCAATAGCTACAACATATTTTAACACAACTCGATTGGAAGTTTTAGTTTTATTTTATTTTTGTTACTTACCTCCCTTGTGTTTTTGCGAATGGCGTGAAAAAAAGTGTATACTATATTCGTTGGATTAATTAATTCTGTTGTGATTTTGATACAAGTGTGCCAAAATTGTTAAGTTATTTTGTGTGTGTGTGTGTAAACTTGCCCGGCCTGCACACCAACTGAAATTCTGCGTTTATTTAAGATTGTTCAAAATGTTGAACTTAATATAACCACTTACATTCGTTAAATGTTTTCTTAATTAACTCTCGTATAAAAATTTAATAACATTTCACCTTGCTCAGATTTCGATACATATTTTGATTTTATTTTTCAAAATTTGAAATTAATGAAAGAATGACAAAAAAATTTTTTTTTTACACGCCACTCGCAATGGACGAAACTAAAATAGAATTCAAAGTTTGTCGGTAATTAACATGCAGTCTAGTCGAGGAACGTGATCGTGATTCTGCATTTGATTTCTTTGATTTCCTTGCGTAATATGGTGGTAACGCCACCTATCTCCAGTCGCATGGACCCAATTGTCCACCTTATAAGGATCGCAAATAACATTGTCTCTTCCACCTTGTTGCATGTGGGCGATAATGCCGGCAGCTTTTGACTTTGTTCTTTGATGATTATCTCACCCCTTTGACATATAAGGAGCTATGAAAGACAGCAGTGACAGCATGTCACAATATTTAGGTGTTTATCCTTTGTGTTTAAGACACTTCCGTAATCTCCAGTCGCTTGACCCGATGGTTCACCTTATAAGAATAGCAACTAGCACCGTCTCTTCTCTTCATGCCTTATTTCGATTGTTGTCAAGATAGAACACATATTTTGCGATACTATTATTTTTTATGCTTGTCGGCCTTATGGTTTGTCGGCCTTATGTCCTGTCGGCCTTTTGGCTGTCGACTTTATGTCCTGACGGCCTTATGTCCTGTCGGCTTTTTGGCTGTCGGCCTTTTGTCCATGTCGGCCTTTTGTCCGTGTCGGCCTTTTTCTTGTCGGCCTTTTGGATGTCGGCCTTTTGTCCTACACCCGTGCAGGCCTACCTTATACTTTAACCCTAATCATGGAATGTAGGGTCCTTTGTTATTTTAATTTTAGTTTTAGTTTTAGTAAAATCGTTAAGGGCTTGTGGTTAACTATTTTTTATTGTAAGTGGTTTATGAAATATTAAAATTTATTAACACAAAAAAAAATCCGTTTCAAATTAATCCTAATTATAGCTGCAATTCTTTTACTTGTTAAAGTATTCAAAAAAATTAATTATCATTTAATTGTTTCCAAATTTTTACATTATTTTTTCGATAACAAAATGAATTTTATGTTAGTTTTTTTTTTTTGTTAATTTTTGATTTTGAGATTTGATTTGATCAAGTTGTGTTAGTTGTTTCATCTGGTTTGTTAAAAATATTTTTTCTGGATTTTGGGCAAATTTTGTCTCAAACACTACAATTACTATTAAAACATGTTGTCTGAAGTGATAGTCTAGTGTCTGTTTTTCTTTTTCCGTTTTGTATAGCAATGTTCTTGTATTCTGAATAGCGTTGGCGATGGTGTCAAAAATGTTTCCCACAATTAAAGATTTTAAAAATACATTAATATAGTTTTAATATCAAGCTTTTTAAAAAAAAAATAAATAAAACAATAGAGTTGCGTGACAAAAAACTATGACGTAATAAATGAACATGAAAAATGTCCGAGGTAAAAAGTCTTTAGATTTAAAATTTTAGTTAATTCTTTAAAAATTAATTAAGCATCCAGTTAGGTATCTGATGTCAGACTGCATTGTCATCGGGTCTTGACCCACGTGCCAAGTTTCAGAAAAATTTGTCAGTTAGTAATGATCAAAATTTAGCTCATGCGTTTCGAATCATGACAAGGAAGCAAGGTAAATATAAAGCAAATTAAGTAAAAGCCACAAGCGTTTCTTATCCAATCATCTTCACATATTATAAAATCATCGGAAATGTTGGCCCTTGATTCATCTTAAAAATTTCGCCATGGATTCAGCTCAACAGTTGAAAATGGTTTCATCTCAATAAGTTGGTCCTGGATTCATAAAAAAATGGTCATGGATTCATCTAAAAAAGTTGACTCTGGATTAATATCAAAAAGTTGGTCCTGGATTCATCTCAAAAGTTGATTACAGAAATTTGACTCCGCTCAAAACTA